TAGAAAAAAAAAAAAAAAAACTAAATGTGCCGAGTGACATAATGTTAAATATACATGTCATTTTCTTTTGTGTAGCTTTTTGTTTGTCAGTCAGTAAAAAAAAAGCCCAGCAATAGTGATTCAGAAAGAAAAAAAAATCCCAGTGATAATGATTAAAACTTTAAAAATAGCCAGCATGAAGCATTGCGAATGATGTAATGTCAAATAAAATAAATAAATAAAATTATGTATTGCTTTTATAGATAGATAGATAGATAGATAGATAGATGCGCATACACACACACACACACACACATTATCATAAAATGATGTTGTATTTCTATCTTTCACCAAACATTTTACCTTGAGGCACTTCACTGAATTTGTACTTAGAAAAAAAAAAAAAAAGAACTAAATGTGCCCAGTGACATAATGTTAAATATACATATGTCATTTTCTTTTGTGTAGCTTTTTGTTTGTCAGTCAGTAAAAAAAAAGCCCAGCAATAGTGATTCAGAAAGAAAAAAAAATCCCAGTGATAATGATTAAAACTTTAAAAATAGCCAGCATGAAGCATTGCGAATGATGTAATGTCAAATAAATTAAATCAATAAAAGCATGTATTGCTTTGATTGATAGATAGATAGATAGATAGATAGATACATAAACACACACACACACACACACACACATTATCATAAAATGATGTTGTATTTCTATCTTTCACCAAACATTTTACCTTGAGGCACTTCACTGAATTTGTACTTAGAAAAAAAAAAAGAACTAAATGTGCCCAGTAACATAATGTTAAATATAAATATGTCATGTTTCAGTTAATATATGCAAAATCCTGACAACTCATGTTTATATTATAGAAAGAGTATATGATGTAATGTGTCCACTTAAACTTTGACAAGCATCCTACATCAGAAATGGCACCCACATCCGCAGCAGAAAGATAGTGTTGGGACTGCTGATATGTTGACAGGTAAAATATGCGAGAGAAACAAAATTGAAGATTAAAATGAATAATGCCTAATGATGTGGGGTGTTTAGAAAATGCCAAGTTGAATCACCAAATCCCAGGAATGACCCATATGTTTTTGTATATTTTCAAATAAACGTTAACAGCCAACTGCTGCCTTCTAGTGGCACTTCATGAAATGTACTGTAGCACTGAGGTACCGCCCGAATGCTGGAGCTGAAGCAGATTCAGGTGTTTGGTGTGAACTGTTTTCCTGCCTTTGCCATTATTTGTATATTCTGTAAAGTGTTGTCCATTAAAAGCTAAGCATAAAGCAGACCTGATTATAATGTTTACGCATATTTTTTCCAATCATCTTTTGTTCTCTATGAATATTAATTTATGAATTCGCTGCAGGGCCTATGATGTAGGCTAAATAGAATTCTTCTTTTCATTAAAATATTTTAAAAGCTAGCCTACGAGTTATTTATATCTGGACGTTTTCATGCTAGGCTATATTTGGAGATGTTGATCAGTGCAGTATTACTAAATATATTTGAGGTGAAATATGAACATTGATATGCATGGCACGCATGATTACAGACATACAGGATTTAGAAATGACAGAATTCATATCGAAATGCTGTTTGGTAGCATTTAATGGGAAAATGGATATTTATTTATTTATTTAAAAGTCTATAAAAAAAAGTCTATATGTTTAAAAGTCTAAAGTAACCTTTATAGAACTTTATAGTGACATTTATAGGACTATTCTATAAGTAAATAAATCAATAAAAACACCAATGGTAGATGTTAAAAGCTGATAACTAAACAAGAGGACGTCCCCATCTGTATCAGCCAGAACATGTACACGGAGCAGGTTTGAAATCAGTGACATTGCAGTCCATATGATAAGAAAGTGTGTGAACAGTTGCACATCAGCAGCAGACACACCTCTTTAACAACTATACAGAATGAGTGCTTACTGAAGAGATAACAGTTCAATTTAAAGCCTAAATAAACTATTGACAGTTCATGTTGGCTTTGTCAATCAAATATTAATAATGTACAAACTTATGTTCTAAAGCTAAATCATCAAATCCTTACAACCTCACATAGTTTTCAAAGAGAAACTCCATTAAACTCTTTCCAAAACTTCAGCCTGTTCTGACTTAGTGTGCTATGTCATTTCTGATTAAACTAAATACAGAGTTCTGGCATGAAACTCTAGATGGTGCAGTCCGATAGGTCTAACTCAAGCTGACCTAATGACATCATCACATGGCACAGCTGATTGGTTCTCTCCTGTATTGGTAGCCAATGAGCTCGCTGCTCAACATTCAAATATATGATTATTGATTAGTGCTTGCAGTAGCAGTTGCAGCTTGATTCAGAAACCCTCCACCTTCCCCAACTCCACCTGTATAGATCTGCTACGAGGTGATTCATGTACGCTATATGGGGGTTATTTCATGTATGTTATATTTGCAGCAGCAATATTTCTTACATGCTCACAGCAGCATGTTGTGGATGTATTGGTAGTAGCAAGTCTCGGTACTTGCTCTGCCGCAGCAGCGTAGCAGACCTATTCCGCCAAGACCAAATACATTAACATTGTCATGTACATTACCATGCCAATCCCTCCAAGAGTTGTCATGACAGAACTAATATTTCTAACTTTATGCTTCCCAAAAATATCTAAATGAATTTTAATTCAGAAATTAAAAACACGTTCCACATAGAAGCGATTCAGGTCTCTGTACTCTATTTCATTTTTAAATATATTAATATTTTTTTATATTATTGACCCATAAATCTTATCAAAGCCTTGCAATCCAGTATTACTTCATGCAATCACTATGGCTCATTCAAATTTCATATAACTAAAAAGCTGAGCACGACATAGACCTTTGAGATTACCAACAGTCTGTCAATGGAAATAATAGTTGAAATGCGATAGCTCTAGATGAAATTATTGTATGAGAGAGGAGACCCTCTTCTAGGTAAAGTGTGAACTGCAGGCAATCAAAGCAAAAAGTTGATTACAAAAGGGGAGTGTGACTATGATTCACTGAGAGAGCAAGCCTCAGCAAGAGATTGGACCTTACCTTTAACCTTAGCACCAATCAATGCCTTGCTGTCTGCTTGATCTAATCACAGTTCAAAGTCCCTTCCACGAGGCACTATCAACAGAGTCTGTTTGTGCTGCTCACTCTTTTCTTTCTAAGCCCTTCGGCTTTATCTGTCTCCCCTTCTTCTTGGACCCTACAGACCTCATAGGACCCGGGGCCACATCATGTTTCCACGTGCGCTGCCGCTGCTGCTGCTATGTATCTCAACAGGCTTGGCTGCCACGCTTATCCAGGCCTCTTCTGATGCAGCTACGGTGGATTCTCCAGCTGACGGCTCTGTTTTACTTGAAGCTCAGGCTGGTGAAACCCCAGATGACATCTTGATGGCAGATGCCCCTGTTGAGGGAAAACCTGCAGAGACCCAGAGCTCCACGCAAGAATCTGAAGATGATTCAGACTGGGGCTTAGGTTCTATCAGAGGGGGTTTCCAGGCAGTGAATGGCTATTTTGACTCCATACTGGAGCTGATGGGGGGTCGAGATGGTGTATGTCAGTACCGCTGTAAATATGGTAAGTGAAATAGTACTTGTATTTTAGTCTTTTTAGTAGAATAGTTTTTGTATTTTATTCTTTGCTCAGTGTGCATTCTAAATGCTTCTCAGATTACTGTCACACTATATGCTTTGGGCAAAGACTTTCTTTCGTTTGGGCAAAGACCTTTCTTTCTCCTGTAGAATGCAAAAGAATGTGAGTCTGTACAAAAAAAGCTCAGAAGAATGTTGACTGCTTGTGACCAAGTGTTTCAATCTCCAAAAATAGGCATACCTACTTTTAGTATACTTATATTTTCTAAAGCTTGACTGATGTAGTCAATATGAATTGTCATAGTATGGAAATGAGAAGAATATGTACATTCTTCCAAACTTTTCCTTTTATGCTTCCACTGGAAACAACAACAACAACAGTAAAGAAGGTAAATAATGACTGAATATGCATTAATATACAGCTACTTCAAAGAAACATTTATTGTGCTTTACAATTTGCATATAGTGTTTAACACTGACACTACTAATGAAAAACTAAATAGGTTTTATTTGATTTAAAGGCAAATCTTCAATACTTATCTTGCTGAAACTGTCCGCTGCTTTTGACATGGTTAACCACCAGATCCTCCTGTCAACCCTATTAGCAAAGGGCATCTCAGGAACCACACTCCAGTGGTTTGAGTCTTATCTCTCAGATAGGTCCATCAGCATTAATGTTTGCCTACAAAACCACCACTGGCTCTGCACCCCTTTACCTAAATTCATTACTTCAGAGTTATGTGCCCTCTAGAAGCTTGCGTTCTGCAAGTGAACGTCGCTTTATTGTGCCATCCCAAAGAGGCACAATATCACTTTCACGGACTTTTAAATTAACTTTACCCTCCTGGTGGAATGACCTGCCCAACTCAATCCGAGCAGCTGAGTCCTTAACCATCTTCAAGAATCGGCTAAAAACACATCTCTTCCATCTTTATTTGACCCTCTAACTCTAGCACTCTCTATTCTAATTCTATTCTTTATAAAACATTTAAAACACTAACACTTGCTTCTCTAATCTTTTTGTATTCTATCTATTTTTATTTTTATTTATTATACAATTAACAAAAGCAAAAAAGGCCTCAAACACTAGCTTCTCTTTTCTTTTTCTATTCTATCTGTTTTCTTTTATTCATTATATGATTTTTTTTTTTTAACCTGATCACACCACTCTACAGATGACAGTAATAAATCAGAACGTTTCATATGTTTCAGAACGTTCCCCTAACCCTAATGCCTGAGAATTTAGGAAGTACTTTATTTATCTCTTGACTCCGTAATATTTCTGATTTAATTCTACAATGACACAGACTTGCATGTTCTGCTTAGCCTTTGACTGTTAATTGAATACAAATTAATGGAACTTACTTAATACATACAGAATTTGATTTAATTAGTTTAAATTTGTTAAGTACAAGTTAATGTTCTTAATGTTAAATGTTGCCTAAGGAGGGCAGTGGATGTAGTTTATTCAATCAGTATTCTTCATACACAATAAAAGTGGTTAATATAGGCCTATGTACAGTTTTAGCAAAATAATTGCATAATAAACTTCATGCGGGTTCATAAGTCCTACTGAACATTTGGTTGCAGGGCTTTGACTAAATGCCAAAGCTAAAATAACAAAGTAGTTGTAGTGTCTAACCTTATAATGCAACCATAATTTAAGATGATTTAAATAATGTTCCATGGACAGCATCACCTTAATGATAAAGTCCATGCTCTGAATACCAAATGTGGAAATGTTTGATACTGTTTCACCATGCAGGCTATAGGAAGAAAATCTCATTTACTCATAATACTTATAATACTTCTTGGATAAGTGTCACATATGTGACACGAATATATGATTTCTCCATTATGAAACAGGCAATTAAAACCGTCACAAAGAAATTAATGAATGAAATAAACAAATATTTCACATTTACTGACATTGGGGTTACCTGGGGCTCTGTTTTAGGACCTCTGCTGTTTTAATTCCATATTTTACATTTAGGTAATTTTATCAGGACTTTTGTGAAGTTTTTAATAGCTATGCAAGTGATATTCAACTGTACCCTTCAGTTCAAGTTTGGAAGATCATAATTCCATAATAGATAGTTCTCAGCAGATGTCCCAAAATATAATAATACTGAATAAGACTGAATTAGCTGTATTGGGTAAATACATTCAGAGAAAAAAACATGCTGGTAAAAAAAAAAATGCCTTCTTCAGTTTCAAATGTTATGTGTGTAATACAAAAACCTGGGTATTGCTTGTTTAGATTCTGCTTTTTGCATAGTCCCTTATTTAATTTTATTTTAGGTTACTAAAGTTGAATACTGTAACTTAAGAAACAGCATGAAGCCAAATTAGTCCAGTGTCATCCAGGAAAATATTCATGAAAAACAATGTTTTTGGTGCATTATAAGTAACTGCTTTTGATTGTTTCCACATTTGTAAAGCTCTCAATGCTATTGTTATATAAAATGTATTCTAATAAAGGACAATAGCAACTTTATGTTAATCACTTATTAAAGATATGATATATTATAATGTATCATTTCTGTTTTTCAGGTAAAGCTCCTCAGCCTCGTGCTGGATATCAAATGCCGGAGCCTAATGGTTGTAGCACCTTACTGCTTGGCTTCCAGGTACCGAACGGTGTATGTGTCTCTTTATTTCTACTAACATTAGTGGCCAGTCTGCCTCCTTGAATCTTTGATACTGTATGTTCTCTCCCCATGCATGGACTGTGTGAATCCGGCCAATGAAGTGCACACTGGCCAATTAATCAAAGTTGTACTGTAAATAAAAGATCCATCCAAATCAACCAACTAATATATACATGTTAGACAGGTGAAAAATTTGATGATTATTTTATACCTTTCTTGTCTGATACTTGATAACACAAAGACAGCCCTGCTTGGTAAAAGAAAAAAAGCACTGACAAATGACTTTGGGTTTTAAAGTATTGTACAATGACATAATATGAAACAAGCTGGTAGATATCTCACTTCCAGGTTTGTAGCATCATATATGAAAAAGGTTTGAATATAAAGCACTTAGTAGTAAGTAAACTATATACTCTCTTCTTTTCTTACACATTTATTCTTGTTTTCTCAAGCAATGTTATAGTATAATAACATTTTAAGTAAACCCCTAACTGTGACAAACTGAGATTGGTTGATTTACATCAGACTCAGTCAAAATGACTCTTCCTTTCTAAGTGAATGGTTTTTGGCCATAGTTGCAATGTGTACCAGACCTCATGGCATTAAGTTAAAAGTCTGGCTCTGCATGACCAGCATTGCACAGTCCAGCACAATTTCAGATATGGTGCTCCTAAATCGAGAGACTAGCACAGACTGTGAAGAGATTGTGAGCATCCAACAGGTTCTGGAAAGTTAAGTTTGGCATCCAGCCAAAGCGCTGATAGGACTGCTGTCAGGAAAGAGGAAAGCAAATGTGCCAATTACTTTCACACAAACATGGACAGCCCCCAATGTAATTTCTGGAACTTGAATAAATTCTAACTTTGAGGTTTAAGGTGTTAATTTAGAAATCACTTATGTAGGCGATATATCTGAATCCTCCTCTATGGGCGACAAATGTAATTGTCTCATGTTTCAACATTACAAATTACGATGCCACTCTAACCACCATCACTGCATCTCTTAAATAACCACGGTTATGACTAAAGCAGGAGTCTTCAACCTTTTCACACCAAAGATGGACACCTTTGTTTGATATTGTTTAAACTTTAGTGATACATTTAAAGTCCGGCATATTATAGTTTGGGTATTACCATAACATAATTAGCCTACATACTTTGCATACATTGAAAAGTGATTTTATAATTATACATAATTATTGGTAACACTTTAGAATAAGGAACACATATTCACTATTAACTAAGAGTTTTCCCTCAATAAACTCCTAATTTCCTGCTTACTAATAGTTAGTAAGGTAGTTGTTAAGTTTAGGTATTGGGTCAGATGAAGGGATCTCAAATATGGTCATGCAGAATAAGGCATTAATATGTCCCTTATAAGTGCTAATAAACAGGTAATATGCATGCTAATAAGCAACTAGTTAAAACGTGAAACAGAAGTTGCGACTGTCTTTTCTTCTCTACTGTGACGTATATCCGAGAGAAACGGCATCTGAAATGAGAGGGCGGGACTTGATTTGGGGCGTTGCTAACAAAATGGAGGCAGATCTGAATGAATGGCAGTTTGCAGTTAGTGGTGGGGGATTCCTCTCCACTGGATTCACAGCCGACACCCAAGCATGAATAAATGTTTTATTGATTAAGGATGACCATGACGATCAACGGCACAAAACATGCCTAAACAGCGCGCACGCGAGAGAGAGAGAGAGAGGGAGAAAGAGAGAAAGAGACTGCCTGAATGACTGAACGCGTCCTCCATCAGGTTAAGTCATATTCATGAAAAAAAATTAGCGATGTCCTAAGAGTAATGTTGTCGTAATATCCTAATATCTTTTCAATGTTTAGGAGTAACGTACTCCCTCATGACTGGTGTCAGTGCTATAAAGTGAAGCATCAGCTTCAGCTTTTCCCCCTGTCGTTTATCCCAGCGTTTACCCCTCACGTCACTAGCTCCGCCCTTGCGCCATAGCTCGTGACCGGAAGAGTAGAGGAGTCGTTTTGAGGGGGACGGATAAATAATTTATAATAAACACTACAGTATTCCATTAAAAAATAAGAATTTTCAATTTTGATTTCATGGTGACTTTAATAGTGAGAATTGGAGCTTAAAATAAACTGTTACTGAATAATTATATAAATTCATTATATAACCATTATTGATATACAGACTCGCATACATTTCAATTCCTTAATTAATATTAATGTGAGTGGGACATTGAAAGGATGCGATCACATAGGTTGTTCCATTTTTTGTGACTAACAAGTTATTTGTGTGGTTCTTTGTGTGTCTGAACTGCATGTGGTTGTTTGTGTTTTAACAGTGAAGTGCGAAAGAGTTTTAAAGCTCATGTTGTGTAATTTGCTGTTACTCCACAGTTTGATATTGGTGTCCCAGCCATGACCAAATGTTGTAATCAGCTAGACATTTGCTATGACACCTGGCACACACACACACACACACACACACACACACACACACACATTGGGATTCCATGTTTTATAGGGACATTCCACAGACATAATGTGTTTTATATATATGTAATGTATATACGTAATGGTTTTTGTATATATCTGTGTTGGAACAGATCCATTATCTGTTATGGCTAACCCAGCTGAAAATATTTTTTACTGATTATATGGATTGTCATTTGCAATCGCACTTTTGCACACCAGACAAAACCCCTAGTATCCCTTCTCTTCCACAGCCTGTGAGACCTTTGCGGACACCCTGTATAACACCATTTGGACTTTGGGCTGCAGGCCCTTCATGAACAGCCAGAGGGCAGCCTGCTATTGTGAAGGAGAAGAGAAGGATGAGCTGTGAAGACCTACAAACCACAAAAACACACCACCTTCAACACATATAAACACTTTACAAGTTTAAACTACTCCACAGTAGGGGTCAGTATTAGGATGAATCTCATTAAAACACCCTGGTCACATTTCACCACATTAATGAAAAGAAACAATTAGGCAGATTTACTGCAATGCACAACAGTGGTGGTTGTTGTTGGATTCTCATTAGTTTAATATAGTTATTTTATTTATCATTATTTTTATTTTTTTTTAATAAATGTAATTAACAATTACAGCATATATTAAATGCTGTATATGACATACTACTGCAATGTACAAATACTATTAATTTAAGTAAAATATTTATTTTATTTGCATTGCAGAAAAAGAGTTGTTTTGCATGATCAAAATGAAAATTTTGCAGAAATTAGCCTAATCTTCCTAAAAATGTCACAAAGCAAGCAAACAATCAAACAAACAAATGTACTGTTCCTAAAAACTGACATATTTTCTATTTCATCCATATTTTGGGGGGAAATATTACCTTTTCTTGACACGTTTTGTGAGATTCACCCACTAACCCTTGAACTGGTGCTAGTGGAGTAGTTTTAGATCAGCGGAAACTAAAAAAGTTTTATGTTGTATGTGTGAAAGTGTCCCACAAATTTGCAGTGTGTGATTGTGTGTAGGTTTGTTGTATGGGAAAACAATATCCATAAAATATATAGTTTGTGACAACTTCATATGTCCAATTTGATAAACAATATTCATTTGCTTTGCATTAAAAAAAAAAAGAAATACAAAATTCCTACAATATCTGACAGTGTGTTAAGTATAGACCTACTAGTTAATTTATTATTATGGAACTTTGTTCCAAACTAAAGTTGTTTTGTTTAGAAATAATAAAAATATTATGATTGTTGAACCTCTGTAGGGTAGTGATATTTATGCAGAATGGGTGTCAGTAACACACATGAATGTGTATTGCACTGAGAGAGACAATATGACTACAGACTGTGACAAAAATAATTTTATTGGCTGTAAAATCATTTTATTTTCCCCAGCTGAGCTTATATGCAAATTAGCATTAAAAACTGTAAAATGCCACTTGGTCTAACCTTTTTTGAAATGCCTAGGCTTATACTGTTAATCGCATACACAATACTTCACCTACAGTAGATGCATGCACATGGAAAGACATATTTTCTAGTGAGGCTTTATGTAGTAAATATAATGTCAGAAGTAGTGGAAGGAAGCAACTGATGCAACTCATAAATGTAAAATTACTGTATTTAAACACATCCATACTGCATACAGTATCTGCAGTAAAGTAACCTGTAGATGGCGTTGTGGGTAAGAGATTTTATAGGTGTGTGTGGTCTCATGGATCTGGCAGTATGCGAATGGGTCCACTGGAAAGTATGTGTCGCTCTTGGTGCTGGTCAGTCCAGAGATGTCTCCTCAAGCGCTTTCGGCAGCCCTGTGTACAACGAGATTCCCCTTGTTCCTGCCCACACACCAGCACACGGCAATGCAGGAACACCTCCTAATACACACACAGTACACACAAAAGTTTCAGCAAAGTAATAGCTAGCCCATTAGCACACAAAAGCACATGCATAGGACAGACCAGGCAGCTGTATTTCCCAGCATGCACCTGTTCCCTACTCACTCTGTTGTCCTTGCCAATGAACTTGAAGACAGGGACCTGGTAGTGTTTGGAGAGCTGATCTTTAGCCGAAAACTGACGCACCGTATCGTCTGAAATGCAGCTGAGAAATATAAGGCCATTAAAGCACAACACTCTCTAAATATAGACTCTGCCTTTGTTTAAAGGTGCCGTAAGCAATCGCTCCTCAAAATAGTGTGGATAAATTGTACCCACACAGAAATGTCCTGATGAATAACACCTGTGACAGTATGCGCTAAACAACTAAAAAATTGACAGGAGAGCCAACCAATCAGCTCCTGTGCCTTATATCTGTCAGGTTTGCTGAAGTATTCAGGTTTTGGAGATAGATGTTATGGTAGAACACTGTTTGGAGAATATCCACTGAACGTAAACAGCGTATGCTGTTCTGTGTCAGCTGCATCACGCAGATACATTTTCTACATTGTTTACGCTTTGATTTGAATGAAAACAACGAATCCGCGTGACGCAGCTGACACAGAATAGCATACGCTGTTTGCGTTGAGTGGATATTCTCCAAAATGGCACCAGGGTGACGTGGAGCAGAAAATGCAGCTGAGAAATATAAGGCCATTAAAGCACAACACTCTCTAAATATAGACTCTGCCTTTGTTTAAAGGTGCCGTAAGCAATCGCTCCTCAAAATAGTGTGGATAAATTGTACCCACACAGAAATTTCCTGATGAATAACACCTGTGACAGTATGCGCTAAACAGCTAAAAAATTGACAGGAGAGCCAACCAATCAGCTCCTGTGCCTTATAGCTGTCAGGTTTGCTGAAGTATTCAGGTTTTGGAGATAGATGTTATGGTAGAACACTGTTGAAAACAAACAGCATATGCTGGTTAGATATATTTTGAAGCATGGCAGCTGGTTTGAGCTGGTCCTTAGTTGGTTATGAGCTGGTTATATGCTGGTCAACTCCTGCTCAGCACCAGCTTAAAGGGTTAGTTCACCCAAAAATGAAAATACTGTCATTAATTACTCACCCTCATGTCGTTCCAAACCCG